CTGCATGCTCGGCCATTCGCGTCCGGAGTAATCTCCCGGTTTCTCCGACGCATTTGGTTTGTCCACAACTACACCAGATCCGATAGACGACTCCAGGCGTTTCCTGTCGTGGCAGTGGGTCCTTCCAAGGAGATTTCAGGGCCTTATTTCCATTGTCAGTCTCACTATTGATCTGCCGCAAACCAGCGTTGTCGGGCACGCTATAATGACAATCCGTTCTCAGCCACTGATCTACTTTAATAATGTAATCCCATCTTAAGTAGTAACTTACTTAACTCCTCCATATTACTTAACGCCGTATCCTTTTCGCCTGAAGATTTTTTTGAAATTGGGAGTTCCCGACATCTTCACTCACATGCAATTTCGGGTGGAATTTAACTGCCTCGTGCTCAGCTTTGCCTAAAAATTCCAATTTGTACTTAGTTGATGTAACTCTCAAAAGCATCGTACGCAAAAGAAAAATCAACTCTGGAATTCTTACGTACACGTGGTCCCTCCAACGTAGCACACCAATTTTCATTGCCTATATTTTACCGTTCAGCCAAGTGATACATTCAATTTGCTTATGCCCTTTGGCGGTCCATAGCTAAATTTTTGGTGTTACCTTATTCATAGAAGCAAAGTTACATGAAGAAATTGGGAGCAGAGTTCAGCGAGCCCTTTATTTCAAAAAAAGATGTAGGAGAAAATACGAAAAGATATGGAAGAGAAGTGCAGGCTGCTAATATAACAGAAGCCCTGAACAGGCAAACTGGTCTAGGCCCCCTGTCTGTTATGAGCATTTTTTTGATTTGGTAAACTGTGTCAATTACGTCATAGGTAATTTGGGAAAAAATTATTACGTTCTATTTACGTTCTATTTACGTTCTATTACGTGCTATGGTAGAGAGGAAAATTTGGGTACATTTTGAGTTACTAATAACAAAGGGATTCCTTAGTAACCCCTCGCTTTGGTGGCAATTTTGGATGAAATTAATGAGTATTTGTCCACATCAGTGGGGTAAAATATAAACAATAACAAGCTGTGTGCGCAGGCGCGCACTCTACAATCTCAGGGTCGTAGATGGCAGCGACTCACGTGTTTTCTTGGCTGGACAGCCTAGAAAAAGATTTTGACCGTACTTATGTGGATTTAGATGTCTTAATCGGTCACGGAATTAATACCGACACGGAGAAGGAAGATTTTAGAAAGAAGCTGGCTAATCTCAATTCAGTATTTACACAAGTATCCCTCAAAGCCCAGTCGGCCTGCGAAAAAATCGCAAGAGCTGAGGTAAATCATAACAGTCAAACGTGATTGTTAGGCACAAGAATTACTGCTTAAAAGTGATCTTGAAACCGCACTGGCGGAAAAGTCCTTTTCAGAGAAAGAGGTCGATCACCTGCTTATTGAACTCCACCACGCACAGTTAAAGCTGCTGAAATATGCTGGTGAGGAGGTGTCAACTGAAGGCATAAAGAAAAGTCTCGTACGTGTATTTTTGACTTAAGTCTTTTACAATTTAGGAACTGCAACTTGAGGAAAGGAAACGTCAGCTAATCGGAGAAGATTGTATACGAGCGGCCTTGACAATTTTAACCAGAGAAAATAGTCAACTGAAATTGTATATAAGCGCTCTCCAGGCAAGTTGAGCAGTCCATAATAACAATTTATTGATGAATTTTTTGTTTACTGTCTTAGAATTTTTTTACGGTTTGCCGAATCATGGATGAACCGGAGATAGTTTGGACTAAGTATTGTAGTAGTGATTTCCGATCCAAACAACGTGCTCTTTCGCACATGCATTGCACATTTTATTTTAGTCGGTATATCTGCTAATTATTCCTGTCTGAACTATTATTGCTCGTTCCTGTGCCCAACTATTTTGTCGTCGAATGTAAAGCTGTGTTTCGTTATAAACGCAGTTGTATTTACACAACGGATTACGAAAAAACAATTCTAAATTATGTTTGTTGGTATTGTGGCAGAATTTCTCCTACCATCGACTGTTTATGTACACTATTAGAGATGTACATACAAGGAACAGACTAAGCCACCGGATGGATCACGAAAATACACCAAAGCAACAGACCCGCTATGCTGGGCTTGTACAAGTCTTTACGAACCGTCTGCAATCGCTTAAGCCAAATGTGCAATTTTGATCTTCGTACAACGTCTGTTTAAAAGTTGGCTAACTGCGTTGTAGTAAATCTTAGCCAAGGCTTTTCAATAAATGCATGCACCCCTGCTTATCATATGTTTCCTTTAACAGGACGAAGTTTATGGAGCGCGTATGGCGGCTAAATACCTGGACAAAGAGTTGGCAGGACGTATTCAGCAGATCCAACTAGTATGCCAAAAGATGGATGGGCCGGAGTACGAACGTCTGTGGAACACTCTAGAGTCAGAAATTCTCCTCCATAGGCACAAGACCGTTATACGCGCTTGTCGAGGCCGCTTAAATCTCCTTCCTGGTACGTAAGGTCACCTTTGTGCTGAGAGATGTAGTTAATTCCTCCCCCCCGTACTGCCTTTAGATTTTCGACAGTTTGTCTTGATAACTGAATAGCCCTGTCTCAAATATCTAGATAGGTGAAGGCAAATAGGGCTAAACACATACTTTCACTCATTTGTTCCTGTTTGATACTATTACCCCAGCAATTAAGTAGGTTATTCGACGCCTTAACTGGACCCCATTTTGCCCTTTTGATTTACGTGCGGCCAGTCAGGCTGGGTTTTGCAGCTTAGAACCAATGGCCATGTAATGGAATTGGTCCTGCTCGTACTTACTAAGGAGAACTGTTTTGATTTTACTTAATAAACACAGCTCCATTCTAAGTGATAGCGACTTGCCTTGCTATTTGGTGACATTCTACCTATCCTGTTTAAGGGATCAGGCGCAACCCGATTTAAGCTTACGGCTCTTCTTTAAATGATACTAACACGTCAGGCACGATCACCTTTGACTTTGTCTGTTGAATACTATTTTATGAAGAAGTATGGAATTGCTGTAGTGAAAAACAGACATTAATGTAACTTTCCAGCCAGAAGTACGCACTCTGCTAGAACATTCGAGGCCAAATATTCTGCCCTAGGTCAGGTAATTTTATCAGAGCCTACGGCTCTTGCCTTGTCGGAACGAGTTATTTCGAAGCTCTTAGCGTTGATAAGCCGAATGAGCAATGTCAGCACACTCGTGATTGGAGTAGAAGAATTAAACTTACGACCCGCGCCTGGTACTTTTACTTAACACGAACGTCGAACCAAAGAGCCCATAAGAGAGACAGAGAGAAGACCGGTCGGCCAG